CCCCCCCCAAAAAAAAAACCCAAATTTTTTTAGAACATCTAAAACCTTCTTTTAACCCCCCCCCCCCTCCAAATAAAACCCCATTCTTCCAAATCTCACGAAAGTTGATATACGAAATCACCTTTTATTTAACAATATACAGCCGTCGTTAAGTCACATTTCCTTTTACACTTCATGTCATCCAACAATATCGTTTCAAACTATCATCGATAACTTATATGTAAGGAGATACGTTCTCTTCACTAATTTATTGACTTTATTACTACACGTAAGCAATAAAACAAAGGTGTACACGTATATTTAGATCAACAAGGACACGCTGAACATTTCAAAGAGGCGCCACGCAAGCCGGACAAGAGCGCCGACCTGAATCGCGTGTTGAATTTCAGATAGACCAGTACGTTGGAGGCCATGTGCACAGCTTCGACCGTGAACCGATAATCATTGGCCAACTGGTAGATATTCACATAGCGTCCGAACGGGCTGAAGTCTGGTAAACACAAGATGACGTAGTAATTTAACAACTTAAACGTGTTGCACACCACAAACAGGACGGACACGAACGTGGCAGATTGTAAGGCCTGCAACTCTTTTCTGGACGTGTTGTTAACCGGACCAGGAGCAGATGAGATTTTGGCATTTTTGGGTGAATTTATCGCATCATGTTGAACATTTGCGTTTTGGTTCCTAGAACCCAACTTGTCAGATTTACTACCATTTTTTGAAGGCTTTCCATTTGATTTAATTTTGCGATTTTTAAGCTCCAAGGACGTCTGCTCCGGATTAGCACTTGTTGATGAATTCCTGAATTTCGATGACGCGCGTAAGCCAGAAGCAAGAACTACCAGGCAGAAGACGACGGTAACCTGACACGTTGTGGTAAACACTAACGATATGAGACCAACCGCGGAGTAGGCCTGAGCCCGGATGCCCGATGTCCATAACTTAAACAGAGTTCTATTCCTGACCGGGTCGACCATTTCCACAATATCTTGCGATGCTAAAATCGGCATATGGATAGAAAAGATGGCTAAACATATTCCAGTTAGGATGGCAAAAGTCCGCGTCGTCGTGAACGTATCTTTAAAACGGAAAGGCAGCGCGACGCACCAGCATTTCTGGACGGCGATGAACGTCGTGATGCCCTGCGAGACGTCGTAGACCGCCCCGTAATAATACATCGTGAACCAACACAAGTCTTCGCCATCCACCCGCCACCTCTCGCGAAACATTTCCGCGAGCATGAGGACTGTGTCCGACACGATCAAGATCATAATGCAGACCAGGTCCGTGCACGACAGCACAAAGAAGCAGATGCTGATGCTGTCTTTCAGTCCGAGCTTTAAATAAATGATGATGTTTGTCAAATTGGCGACGAAGCCGAACAGAAATATCACCGGTTGGACAACAGCGCCTAAAACGAAGATGGTAATGCCTTTCGTCTCATATGACGTAAAGTCGGGAAGCTGTGGTGCTACAACGTCCGTGGCGTTCATCGCGTTGTGCATTGCTGGTGCAAGAACTTCCAATGAAAATTCTGCTTTCAGGTCACAGTAGAGTGACGTGAAGTTTTAAGTTTTTTCGTAGAGTCGAGAAGACTGAGTGCATCTCCTGGTGCCCTGTCTTGTTTGTTTTTATCCGAAGGTCAAATCAAAGCTGGCGTAGTTTGTTCTGTAACAAAATGAATGTAGATAACTATGTTAAAATCCTAAAATAAAACCGTTTTGTGCATTTTAAAAATTAGTAAGGACGTCAATTGGAAGATTAACATTATAATAAGATTGAATAATTCATCTTAAAGTTAAAGTTGGCTATACATTATAGACTTATGTCGACACTACTGATTTCCGTGCTTTCATTTCATTTGTGTTTTACATTAAAATGATGCGATGTGGTTTTAATTTTTTTTGTAAATCAGAATGTTGACTGTTTTAATGACATATCCCGAAAATGAAATCTTTACATTATTTCCAAATTACTTTACATTTACTTTGTATCAATAAAAGTATCTTATCTCATCTTTTCTGAATATGCTAACAGTTAATTATTTGATGAAGTTTAAAAACAATATCCTCTTCTCTCAATCGTGTGTATTTCAGTTTTAAAAAAAAATATTTATTTGATATCAAGTTCGGGTGTTTGTTTTTTTTTCCAGCCGCTTCACCTTGGCACGCCTGCCTATACGATTTAAAAAAAAAAAAATGTGCAACCACGAAAAATGACATTAAAGCTTTGGACATAAACATTGATGGTTATAACTTTACGTTTGCCAAAGTTTCTAAATGTACCTCATAAAGTGAGATTGAACACAAATATCCACATGGGAGATACCCGCTATGTCAGGAATAAATGAGTATTTTTGTGGCAACGCATTGCCCGAGATGTGAACGGGACTGGACACGCTGTAAAGACATTATTAAAAAAACGGAAACAGGCTGCGACTAATTTCAAAAGGTGTATTTGTAACGTCTCGGTAATTACAGACTATTTTGAGATTCTCGAGGGAGACGAGACTTAGAACGAGAGTAGAAAAGAAGCGGGGGGGGGCAATCACGAACGTTTAAAAGATTGTGAATTAAAAAGGATTGTATACTTTATAAAAAATTAATTCTTGTTTAAATGGAAGGAGTCAAAATGGGATATTAAATTATTGTTTGATGTCTTTACTGTAAGTACGAAAATAAAAGATGTGTAACAGAGGGGACTTGAAATATTTTTTTCAGTGTGGAGGTGAGGAACGCATATGTGATGGAGGGAGCCTCCGACTACAATTTGAGGATTAATTCCCACTGGTAAGACAGTCAATGACAAAAGTGTAGTGTGTGCGCCGAGAAAACCTACGTCTGTTACAATGGTGTCAGAACAAAGCTGACTGAATCTTTTTATACAAATAAATAATATTCTTTTAAAGGGCTTGAGCTTTTAAAAGAGATTTGATATCTGTAATGATTTGCAAGTATCCGTGTATCACCAAGTGACTGTGGTTTAGCCCACATATCTGTGTGGCTCAAGGAAGACGACCTGTTGTTAAGAAATATGTTTGCCACCGCAACATGTTAATTTCGAAGGTTGCTCTTTATTCCAGCTTAGTGTGATGTCTATGAATATTGAGCAGAAATTAATCAGTATTCATTTATTTCTTATTTAAATATCAAAAAAAAAATTGTAGGAGTGTCCATGACACCGGCGTTGATCCTGGCCGTCTATTTTTGTTCTTGCACTCAATGTTCTGTGCCGACGTCAGTGCCCTGACGACCGCAAATTCTCGTGCCAGCCGCAGGTTTCCGTAAATTAAGAAACAAATAGAAGAGTGCAGTGAGTAAGTTCACAGAGGCAGCCTCTCGTCCCCTTCTTACCGCTTGTCCCCCCCACCCTCCTGCCACTTGGCACCTTCCTGCCACTCGTCACTTTCCCGCCACGTATCACCTTCCTGCTTTTTTTGCCACCTCCCTGCCATCTGTCATCTTTCTGTCACTTGTCATCCTTTTGCTACTTATCAAATTTCTACCCCTCATCGCCTTCCTGCAACGTTTCTCACCTTTCTTCCACTTATCACTCTCCTGCCACTTGCCATATTTCTACCACTTCTCACCTTCCTATTACTTGGCCTCTTTCTCCTGTTTTTTGGAGGACTCCGATGTTGTCCCTCATTTCAGTTCTGTGGTCATGGCCTGTTTCTACATCCTCAACTTATTAAGAGAACAGCCAAATGCCGTAGCTGTCGTTGTAATCCAATCAAGATCAGATTACTGAAACAGTTGTTTGTGGGGTTTGCCTCAAAACCAAGTTTAGAGACTCCAGAAATTACCAAATAGCGCAGCCCTCATTGTATCGCGTTTAAAGACATCTGACCACATCACCCCAGTTCGTAAAAATCTCCACTGGCTTCCTTTGAGTGAGCGCATTGACCACAAAAGTCTGTCCCTGACGTATAGCTGCATAGAAAGCTCTCTGCACTTGTATATCTGCAAAGAATGATTTCTAAACATGTATCCATTAGAGAACCAGAGAACCTTCAACACAGTCGTTACTGAGGGTTCCCAGTGTGGATGGACACAGAAAGAAGTCATACGGAGTGCGCTCTTTTGAAGCCATTGCGCCTAAATTGTGGAACAGTTTGCCTCAATCTTTGAGGGAAATTGAAAATGATAAAAAGTCATTTAAGAACCATTTCAGGAATATTTTCTTTAATTATATTTTAGGAAATCAGTGCGCTGTGATCATGCTAAAATAGCATGTACACTAGTGCTATAAAAGTACTCAACCACCATCATCATCATCAGACTTTGATGAACGCGCACTTTTGTGGTGATGTGAATGTCGTGGAATGACATAACATTTTTCTACAAGAGTCTGAAAATTCTGCTCCAGGTTACCATGCATGAAGGCACACAGGATAAAATTATGATATTCACGACACTAAATATTTTTTTTAGTCTAAACCTACTATCTAGTAGAGGTTATTAGTTTCATGAAAAATCCATCATATACATTACGCTTCTGGTGTGACTCGTGGATTGCTTCCATTTCTGACTGCTTCCTATTCAGCTCATTTTATATTGTGAGTATATTAACATTACAAATAATTTTATATGTTTGAACAAAAAAGTTTGGTTCAATAATGGGTTCAACTACGCTCAATGATATAATTTTTTTTAATAACGCAACTGCGTTTGGTGCGTAATATTTTCTTTTCGGAAAATGAAATCGCCTCAATTTAAGTATGGTGTAAATATAGTCGGTTTAAAATTGGCTGGGACATCAGAATATTTAATTTAGTTCATGGAAGTGAAATAAAAAGTGTGCGGTGACGTATCATAGGGGGGGGGGGGGGAAGTGGTGTAGCAAAAGTTGTGATTCCAAAGTGTGCGTTAATTGAGTTCGTGTTTAGTCAAGTAACTTTGGTACATGGGGCGTTCACACATTACCGTTGCCAATGTTTGGCCGGCTATAGCTAGGAAATAATATTTTAATAGATATTAAGAAAAAATTACGTGACTTGGTGTAATATTTAAACATTTCAAACCGGTTCCGAAACAATAACATATTAATGAAGAATACACAAGGTCACGTGATGCCAAAGTCATTAATACGCGCGGGGTTAAACTGGAAACTTTGGAAATTTTTTACTTTCATTTACATGAGCGACAACTCCTAGAGATTAAAAACGTAACTACTCTAGTGTCAAAGGGAGATAAACCAAATAATTAATTCAATGGACGAATGCTTTAATGCCACAGCAGAAAACTTCTTTTAACCTGCGTTTGACAAATACAAATTAAAGTTATTTTGACTTTGTTTTAAAAAAACAAAACATTTTAACATAATTTACTTATCAGAACTTTCAAAAAAAAAAAAAAAACTCAAGGTTTTTTGTAACCAGACTAGAGAGCTTCGACAGACGCTAACAGGTCCACCGCATGAGCTACCTTTACGTGTTTTGCTTTACACTGAGTCATGTTAAATAGCCAGAGACCTCAAACACCATTTCTTGAGCGCTATTCAGGAAAATTTCAAGCTGTTCAAGTACTTAAAATGTAGAAGGAAGCTACAGAGGATGTAATGTTTTTTTTTTTTTTTTTGTTAGTCTCAAATCCTTAAAATGTTAAATGTTAACAATATTGGACACTATCCTTGAGTAGCTATTTTTTCTAAATAAAAAAAAAAAATTTACAAAAAAAAAAGCTGTTCAAGTACTTAAAATGTAGAAGGAAGCTACAGAGGATGTAATGTTTTTTTTTTTTTTTTTGTTAGTCTCAAATCCTTAAAATGTTAAATGTCAACAATATTGGACACTATCCTTGAGTAGCTATTTTTTCTAAATAAAAAAAAAAATTTACAAAAAAAATTAAATCCGCCAATAAGTATGACATCTATTAAAAAGCATTTTTGTCTATCTTATACACTTCACAAATCTTATCGTATGTTAGGTTTTTTTGAAGAAAATTCAGATTGATCATCTCATTTATCTTAAACTATGTCGATATTAAGAGCTTTCCGCTACTGGACAAAAAAAATCCATATCATACCGTTCGGACTAGTTTTTAAAAAATCAATATTGTAGCCTCTTGTATTGCTTTGGTGGCTCTCAATAGTTCAGGAAGGTCTCTTGAAAATATTTGGAAGCCGATTTTCAATATGTTAAGTTTGGTAAATCACGCTGGTAAATAGTATGACCACTTTGCCGTCGTCAGTATTGACAGGTGGGCCATTTACGCGACAAGGACGTCAAAGATCAAACGTACGTTTGGGTGTATATATTTAAAAAAAACCCCTGACATTTAAGATTTATAAGATTCCATAACAGATGAATCAAGATGTCATTTACCCGCAGCTAACTCGATCTAGATTACATTGGATAGCGGAGACT